GTGTGTGTGTGTGTGTGTGTGTGTGTGTGATGCACGCACTGATGGATCCATGGGATGTTCGTATTGATCGAACCACACCCGGCCGTATACAGAAACACACACACACACACACACACGTACATTATATAAACGCATGCATACGGTTGCATGCGTACAAAATTCATGCAACCATGGACTCCATCACTGTCATAACTAAACTCCATTTCTCAGCCAGAATTTTGAGATTCAGCAGATATTCTTTTAGTATATTTCCGAATGTACAGGGTGTTCCCCGAAATCAATAAAATCGAGTAAATATGCTTGAGTTTAACTGATTCTAGATGCGAAGAAGGAAAAAATAATTAACAGGTGGTTATTCTACATACGAAAATAAGTAAGAAATGTGGGATAAAATTTTTTTGTATGATGCTTCGTTTACGGGAGAATCGAGTTTGAAGACTTATCAAGTACACGTGCACCAAGATAACTTCCATGTCGCGTGTGGTGTTTGTTAAATTCAAGCACATATTTAATCTAAAATTAGTAAATTTCCGAGCTCGAGTTTCTCGAAAAAATTTGTTCGACTTTCTTTTCACGTAGAATCCTGACCGGTTGCGCCACGATTTCGGAAACACTCTGTATATTTCTATAACGTCAGTCGTCGAATTCTTCTTCTCTCCCCTCCCCCAACCGTTAATTTTTTTTCCATGCAGAATTTGTGTGTTTCGACTGATCGGTAATATACCGTGAAATAATGGCGACATCTCGACAACTGTCAGACACACTTGCTGAGAAAGTATGCGCAACAGGAAAATGATTCGTACAAGTCGAACAGAAACGATGCTTCTGTTGACATTCCGCTATTGCCACTTCATGGCTTACAAAAACAATAACAGCTCGCGTTTGGATCCCGCAGCTGTCTTACCGTTTCAATTCCTTCGTGTGTCTGCATCTGGGGCTCATATACCGGGTGTTCAAAATGGATTTTTTTTATATTGTGAAAATAACAGTAACAATGATACTGAAAAAAATAGCAGTTCATTCTTTGTGCATTCTTTGTATCTTTAAATATTAATTTTTTTTTTTTAATATTTACCTATTCTTCTTGTTTAATCAAGGAATGATGCCATTAACGTTTCGACGTTGGCTACGGAATATTTCTCACGTTCAGGATCACAGTAAAGTAAGTGTCCCGTGTAATTAGACGCGATGCACTGTGTTCACGGATGATTTACGCAGTGGCACGTGATTTCCGCTTTTACCTCCGCTCGCAATTTTCCATTGCCGGTGGACCATGTCCCGTTCGTTGTACATTTAAGTTGGACGCATGTTGTTCAGGTAAAATTTGTTAATACACATACTTTTATTTGACGTCAGCGCATATATTTCCATTGACTAAAGTTTCTTTGTAATACGTTAGCTAGCATATGTTAACGTATCAGCATTAATATAATATGCAGCTGTTTATAATTACACTGTGAAATTAGCATATTTATCTTTCAAAGACGTTAATTTTTTTTTTTTTTACTTTTCTTTCTCTTTCTTTGTTTTCTCCCTAACCTAGACGAGGAATGTAACTTGAGGTTTGCAATTATGGAAGCTTTCTTACATTCTGATATTGATTTTTCTAAAATCCTATCTAAACCTAACCTAAACCTAACGTACTGGACCTAACATACCGAATCCAACGATTGAAGAAGAAAGAACATATAGCAGATTAAACGAGCCCCTGCCTCGAAACCCGGATCTTTCGTTTCCCGACGGACTACTCTAATCAATTGGCCTATTCAGGTCGTGACAAATTCTTTCTCCCTGACTCTAGTATGTATTTGAAACTGACTATTGCCTGCAATAGACTTAACTACGCAATTAACCTCGTTCAAATTGTCGATTAGAAATTCAAAATATGTCGGAAGGAAGACCTGAAACCTAACCTAGCGGAGCTAATAACGATCACACGTAAAAAAAAAAACGTATTTCGAAGATTACGGAAATGGAGGAAATAGAAAAGGAAGTCAATTTCCTGCGTCCTTTGCAAGCAAAGACACATTTGGTGTTAGGATGAAGGATCTATTTTCAGTCCTGGTACCCAAGCTGCGCCTGGGAGCAAATTAGTATTTCTCCCCCTCTTTTTTTTTTGGTCTGGCATAGTATACGTCGCCACAGTGATACGCCACGTTGTGGAGTCAAATACGAATGTAGGAAGGCATGCAAGAGGGGAAATGATGGACCACGTGAGGGTTTCAATTGTGGACAGGATTGATCCATTTGAAGGAATCGATGGGTTAGACAGGAACTTGGTGGGAATGAGGATTGATGGGTATCCATCCCTCTGGAGTAGAGCGCATGGAAATTGACCTTAAGGGCACGAAGGGCAAACTTTCAGCAATTATAATAAAAATATATAGTTAGTTAAATGTGTATTTTAAAACTGATTAATAACAAATTTAGGTTTGTGTACTTAAAGAATTTAAGTTCAGCTGAGAGAAATTAAGTTGAGAGTTGTTAGGTCTTTGAGTTTCAGAAATTCCTTTTCTATTATACTTATGTAATGGAAAAATATATATATTCTTTTGGAGTACAAAAAAATTTGAAGCATAAAAGATCAACTTGAAACTTAAAGAATTATATGCATGTGTGCGAAGAATTGTCACACAGGGAGATAATTTAAGATTTATTATAATTTTATAATATATATATATATATATGTATGCATTATAAAATTATAATAAAAAAATATATAATTCGCATATGATTGACTAGTGGTAGTTTTCTAGAGTTTTCTCACACAGATCAACTTGTCATTCGTTTATTTTATGACTGTATCAATTAATTCCCTTCAGAAATGGTGGCACAAGTATATTCATCGAGGTCAATGTCTGGTACGTGGAAAAAACTAGAGAAAATCACCCTGTACGAAGTGATTCGTCTTGGTCGAGACTCACGCGCATGTGTTGGTGTGGCAACGAGGACGATAAAAAAGTAACAAAGAGCTTCTGTATCGGTATTCTCGCTCAGTTTGAAAACAATTGATAACTCCACGATGGCGGCGGGGTCATCTATCGTGCAAAATAATTACTGGTATGTTTTCCATCCTGTTTCTGCGCCTCGTGTTTTTCCATTCCTTCTCTACGCGGACCTATATCGTAATTTCTAACAAATTCTTTAAAGTAAAAACTTAAAAGAAAACAAGTATTGAACTTGAAGAATTTAAGTTGAGAATTGTCGGGTCTTCGAGTATCAGAAATTCCCTTTCTATTACACTTACGTAATGGAAGAATGTATATACGTTATGGAGTACAAAAAAAATTTGAAATATAAAACATTAACTTGAAACTTAAAAAATTATGTATAGCGAAAGATTTGTCTGACGCGGTAATAGTTATTTGCTGTTGAGCGCATAGATTGCCAATTTATAATCGTTGCAATTTAATAGGTTGCTACATTTGCTGAGAATAAAGTCTGAACACAGCATGGAAACAAAGAGTTGTGATTGGAGAATAACTCGTAAACAAATCGCCGGACACAATCGTACGTCACCAAGGCGCCTGATAATGTTTCACTTGGCTGAAGATTGCCCGTAACCAAGTAGCTAGCAATATAAAAGTGTGTGTGTTTCACTTCTAAAATACAACCTTTTTTTTTTTTATTAATAATTGTTCTACTTACAACGATGTGTAAAATCCTGGACGCAAACCACGCGACCAGCAATATCTTATTCCAGATCAAATAGCGTGCCATGAAGAAGTCGAAGTTTATTTTCGTTCTGCATAGAAACGACGGCCAACGTGACTTTTAACAGAGTCAAAGTAACAACAGAATGTTGTAACGAGTATAAGAGAGTATGCTGAAAATGATAGTCACCGTGTTTCCTTACGCTTTGGGAAGTTCTATGGTAGTCTTGTGGATGATAATTGGTGGTAATGCGTTTGTACTTAGAGGCATATTAATTGCCGTGGGTTAACGTTGTCACATCTCGACCATAATTCCAGTCCCACAGTGATGACTTAAGAACAAGAAAATGCCGGTTAATTCGAATTTAATGTGAAGTATTAAAAAACGAGAATTCCTGGAATTCCATGAAGTAGCTCTTTGTAAATACAATCGAATAACTATTAATCGATGGTAGATCGATAATTAATAATTGCCTAAATTTATTTCAGTTAATCCATCAAAGTAGTAGATTCAGAAAATTGAAGAGAAAAAGAAAAAAGAAAAATTGGATATCGTTCTCAAACGATAAAGTCAATATCACACCCGTATCAATGTTCAATTGACGACTGACGAATGATGATGTCATTGCTTCCGATCTAAAAAAGGTTTCCTTCGTTGTTTTCAGTAGCGTAAATCTATACGTGCGACAGCCATATTTATTTATAGCAGATGCAAACGCTTAACGAGATAAACGGCTTACGTCTCTCCGCGCGGTCAGATAAACGGCATATTCGTTGGAAAGAAATTAGACAGCGACGGGGATATGTTATAAATTGACTCGAACATAGTGTCACTGGGACTCGCACGTTGCGAATTCTAATGCCCTCGTAACTGACCACAGTC